CAGAGGGCGGCGAGCGGCTGAAGGAGAGGAGAGGCGAGTCCTGCAGCTTCATGGACGACACTTCCAGCTTCTCCTGCCGCCGCCACTTGGCCCGTCGGTTCTGGAACCACACCTGTGGGAGGGAGCGCAGCGCCGTCGGGCTGTGGCGGAGGCTCGGGGGGGTCCCCGCGCCGGTGCCGCCCGCCCAGCTCGACTCCCGCGTCCCCAAATAAAACGGGAGCTCTTTCTTCCTTTCAGCACACCCGCTCTCCTCGCCTCTCATTTCTATCCGGTTTCTCTTTTTGTTTCTTCTCTCCTTCTTTCTTGTCTCCCCCGAGTCTCCTTGTCCATCCTCGCCTTTCCTGGCGTCCCCACCCTCCTCCCTGTGTATCTCACCCCACAGCTGTGGTTTAATCCGTTTCCAACTCCTGCCACAGAGCAGGTGCTCAGATACAGTGAATTTAGCTCCGCCCGCCATTGGACAGTGGGGCTTTGAAGCAGAGCTCCCCAAATTTCTGTGACCTGCGGGTTGGCACCCCTCCTGTCACTTCCGTTTAGACTTTGCTTCTTCCTGGTCTGATACAGCTCTCGACGCTGCATTTTTACATCAGACTTTCGGAGCTTTCCCCGCCCTTTGTCTATCATGAACATAGGTATAAATATCGTCAAATCGGGCAACAGAGGATGTTAAAATATAGCTATTTGCATAGATTGCTGGTTACCCCAAGTAGATAGGAGCAAGTGTATCTGAATTGCTGCGTTAATACGCTTTTCATTTTTGTTTAATGACTTTATAAAGTTAGTTTCCTTAAAAAGAATTATTAAATTTTATTTATTCATTCATTTAAAAAAATTAATTGGACTAAGGAGACAGACGGTGAGAGAGAGGGAAAATGAGAAAGTAAGCCACCCGGTCCGTGACTTGAACCATGGTCGGCCATGTGGGAGTGTCCAGCACCACACCACCCACCTGCTGGCCCCTATGAAGTTAGTTTTGACATTAGCCTGAGATGTTAGCTCAATGACTACAAGTTTTGTTTTCTTCTGTTGACCTATGGGAAGTCTTTGCCAAGAGTGAAGTCTGGCTTCTTCCAAGGAAACCTGCCTACTGATTTGATAAAAGCAGCACAAAGGTGCAATTAAAGTTTCACCACCAAGTTTCACCCTCACACACAGAACAAGGAGAATTGGTTTAGTTTGGTGGTGGGTATGAAAGAGCTTCGGCCAAACCCGTGTCTCAGTGTTCTGTTTATAAAAGGAAGCGGGGGACCGTTGTCACCTTGGGAGAAAGAAAGCAGTTTTGAGTGGGGAGTGTGTGTGTGTGTGTGTGTGTGTGTGTGAGGGTCCTTCTAGGAGGGCCAGAAAACAGCTGAGCAGAGCAGGGCACAAGAGTGTGCAACTGGAATTTGGGAAAAAAAAGAGAAAGAACAAAAATGTAAGAACCCCTGTCCCCTTCCAATAAAAGGTTTATCTGTGTATCCAAGGCTCTTGGACTCCCGGAAATACTAAATAGGTACTTGCCAACAACGGAGAAAAGTGTAATATTGGCTCCCAGAGGGTTCTCCTCCTACCGCCTTCTGCCTTCCCTGCCAGTCATTGTCGAGGCCTCAGGGCCTCAGCTATCAACTTCTACTCTGTGTCTGGGTCCTGGGGCTGTCTTATTGCTTGACTGCTACCCTGATCACTGTAGGAGACCCAACCTGGCCTCTCCCCACGCCACTCCATCATAGGCATGTATTAGGAACAGCCCTCTGCTGGGCCCTGTGGTCACAGAGAAGTAACAGACACTGTCCACAAGAATCCCACAATTTAGAGAAGAAGGCAAGATTCTGAGTAAGCAAAGAGGGAGGGGTGAAGGTGGACTCAGGTGGGAGGGGAGCAGAGTCTGCTGTGCCTGTATCCTGCAGGGCACCACAAGCTTGGTCACCTCACCTCTTCCCTCATCTTTCTCTTGTATTCTTTCCTTTCCCCTCCCACCCTTCCTCCCTGGAAAACAGCTGCCGAAATGTTCACTCCTGCAATGAAATCACTGCAGCTTTACTGTGAGGAGTGAGGAGAAGTGGAACTGTGCTCGCTAGTTACTCCTGAGTCACGTTAGGGAACCGTGTTTCAGAACCATGACGTTTACTCATTACTATCAACCCCGAAACTATGCAGGACAGAGAGACAAAAAGCAAGACTTGTCCCCTTTTATTTTTAAAGCATGGCTAAAAGCCCCCCAATACCTGAGTGCCCTCATTTCCTGGAAATCTAATTGATTAAGAACACACAAAAAGCGCATCTTAGTTTCACGGCCTTTCGGATGCAGTACAATTTGTTCTCAATGTCTCTCAGGCCTGTATAAACTCTCCCAGTTTGGAAATCCTCCCAGATTTTTCACAGATGACTAGCAAATATTTAAGGCTTTCAAATATTTTAATGATCAGGGATTAAAGATAATTCAGCTTTAATTAAAGCAAAAACCCCTTTATGATGATAAAAAGCGAGCAAGAGGAGAGAGAAAGACAGACAGAGAGAGAGAGACCTTTGCAGTGTAAAGTTTGGTTGGATGTGCGCCATGGAAGAACAAAGTCAATTTCTTAAATTCACCGAAAGTTTCAACTGTGTGGGCCAGGCTACTAGCAAGGAGACGCCAAGATTTTGGTTTGGGGCACGGTGGTGCGCTAAGCTAGTGGCGAGAGTAGAGTGGCGTTCTGGCCCCAATCGGGTTCCCCTCGAGAACTTGGGCCTGCGTCCTCTTTCCTCTTTCCACCCGGCGCTGCCCACCACATACTGACAGCGTCTGTTGCGGTGTCAACCTTTTCATCTTGCAAACCATTCTCAATTCATTTTGGTTTAGAAAAAGGAGACCCCGCAGAGGAAAGGTCAGACTACAAACTGGAACGGACTGCCTGAAGGAAGGATGGTTGTGGGGAGCATCCGAGACCTGGGACAGTACTGTAAGGCCCTGGGCGAGTCAGGTCGAGGAAGCACCATAATAAAGCGTGAATGGTCAGGAATTCGAGGCCACCGGGGACAGCAGGGCCTCCGAAGCCCCCGGTGTGCGCTTTACCTGGACGCGGACTTCGGGCAGGTTGACCTTGCCGGCCAGCTCCTCGCGGCTGTACACGTCGGGGTAGTGGGACTTCTCGAAGGCTCGCTCCAGCTCGTGCAGCTGGTAGGTGGTGAAGGTCGTGCGGTTCCTCCGGTGCTTCTTCTTGGGCTGCTCTTCCTCCGACAGCTTCACCTCGCTGGTGGCTGGCCCACTTGGCAGCCCTGGGCTCGGCCGGGCCTCCCCGGGTTCTTTGGGACAGTAGGGGCGAGGGGCTGGGGCGACGAGATCCCAAAGAGTTAGAGACACTCTGGAGAAGTTCTGAAGTTACCCAGCCTCCCGGCGGGTGCAGGCCGGCCCAGTGGCGGGCTCCGAGACGGCCTGGGAAGGGAGGGGTGAAGGATACCTGGCGTCCCTAAGCTTTCTCTGATCCCAAGTTGGAAGCTCCCGCCATAGACACAGCCCCCAACCGCGTGCCCAGGTTCCTTAATAAAAGTCAAGGAAGGGGCACACTCGTCTGGTAGAGCCCCTAAGCTCGGGTGCCCAAGGGCCTCGCGGCAGCGCGGAGTGGTCACTCACCTTCATACTCCTGGGCGGGCGCCGGGGCTGGTGGCGGGGTGGGCGCCGGGGC